CTATCTATCTATCTATCTATCTATCTATCTATCTATCTATCTATCTATCATCTATCTATTTATTTGTGCATGTGTGTTGTGTTGTGGGTTGTGTTTTTCATGGCTGTGTGTGTAGAGGCCAGGAGACAGCTTGCAGGAGCCAGTTCTTTCCCTCTACCATGTGGATCGGGGGATCAAACTCAGGCCATTTGTCAGGCTTGAGATTAAGCACCTTTACCTGCTGAGCCTTCTCACTGTCCCCTGGTATCATATTTTAATTATACAAAATTGGTTTCATTATGACATTTTCATATACATACACACACACACACACACACACACACACACATATATATATATATGTATGTATTTTGATCACATCCATCCCTTCACTACCTACTCTTGTTCCCCCAAATCCCACGGACCCCTTTCCTTCTACTTCCTTATTTTTTTTTTGCTTTGATGACCCAGTGAGCTTTTCTAGGGTTGCTTATGTCATCGGGGGCCATTCACAGGAGGGTGGGCAACTTACCAGTGGCCACACCAGGAAAGAAAACATTTCTACATCCTCAACAAGCTTTAACTGCTAAAAGCTCCTGAGGGAAGGGTCGGGCCATGTGGTTCTCTCCCCTCATGTGTCTAGTTTGATCTGATTCTAAATGGGAGGCTGAGCGGTACTTTTCCATGCTTAATTAATTTGTTTTGTGATGCTGGAAGTCGGACTCAAGGCTTAGTGTGTGTGATGCAGGTGCTGTCCCCACTCAGCTGCACCCCTCTCTAAGTTTACTCTTTAAACTAGCACATGCCCAGTCAGTACTGATTGATTGAACAAATCAAACCAAGCAAATATATTAGTTTCTGGAAAACAGGAATCACCTCTCTGTGTTTTGTGTATCTCAACAAAGAGAAAAATGCATGAAAGGAACAAATACTAATGACAAAATGTTATCATTCATTTTGGGAAAACAGTTTTCTTTTGTGGGTTATATATTACAGCCAAAGTAAAAAGTAAATTATCTGCAGAAGAAAGAAAAACTAACTGCAATGGTCACCACGTTTCTTGGTAAGGTCAGTTTATTATTTTTTTTATAACTTTCCTCCCTGAAAAAGAAACACCACACCATATATTTTTTATTTTCTGAACAAATTTGACATTCAGTGTAACTGGTATTCAGTAGAGAACTAGATCCATGGTTAAGAGAGTGTACTGCTCTTGCAGAGGACCCAAGTTCAGTTCCCAGCATCTACGTTGGGCAACTCACAACTGTCTATAATTTTAGCTCCACTCACATTCAGGTGCATGTACCTAAACACAGATTCACATAATTAAAAATAAAATAAATAACATAAAAAATGTTAACATATGTACTGAGCTGACTTAGTGTTGATATTGTTAATTAACTGTAGCTCTGTAATAAGCTGCCTAAAAGCATGGTGACCCAAGACCACAGGGATTTGTCATTTCTTGGTGTTACCTGGGTGTCTGGGTACCTTTTTAGGTGTTTTCTCTTGAGCACTAAGACACCTATATTCAGCTCTGGGTCAGCTGGGCTGTGAGTCCCAAGATGGTCTCATTTTTACCGCTGTTCTTGTCACTTTCTTTGGCTGGTTTATCTTCCTCCACCTTGGTCTCAACCTCCTGAAAGTCCCTCCTCACTGTCATTTCTCTCCATGGCAAATTCTGGCCACATCTTGAGTGCTCCCAGAGTGGGCAAGCTCTGGAACATGCCATAGTCCGTTTTAAAGCCAGCCTGAGACTTGAGCAGGAACTCTGTGGTTGAAGCACTTATAGAACCATCATGGGGTCTATAGTTTGGACTCCCCAGAGCCCATGTAAATGCTGGGTGGATGTGGTGGCCCACCTGTAATTCCAGCCATAGAAAGTAGACACAAGGGATCTCCAGAGCAAGCTGGCTGGTTAGACTAGCTGTATTTCTCACTCTGGGTCTGACTGAGAGACTATGCCTCAGCAAATACAGTGGAAGAACCATGAAACACCTCAGGCCCCCACATGTTCATGTGCACATACATGAGCACACATGTACCCCCACCCCACACATATGAGACAAGCATATACACATGCATACCATGTACAAACAGAAACAAACAAACAAAAACCAGACTGTCTTAAAAGATGAGGGAACTGACCTCTCTTTTCCCCTGGAGGCCTCTAGACATTACAACCATGTTCTTTAACCTGTTTTCTATGGGCAGCATCCATTGAACCTGATGGGAGAGGACAGAAAATAGTGTTGGCATTAGTGATCTCAAATATGGCCTTGAAATGTTTGTTGATTTCCTTGTGATCACTGGTGGCTTGTGTAGAATGCTCATAGCTGTCAATCATGGTGTTCTTACTACTATATGCACCTTATTTAGGTCCTTTAATGGCTAGAAATATAATCTTGAATGTACTTGAGTGGCCAGGTATTTTACTTGTGAATGATTATGCTTGAGTGGAAGTATTAGATGGAGGCCAATAGTTTTTATCAAGCAAGAGAGCTCTGAATGATGTTCTCAGGAGGAGTGCTTGTGGAAAGATGAGAGAAGACTTGATCAAAGTGATTAGTCTTAAAGGAAATAGAGCATATAGCCCAGTCTAGGGTGCTTGTCTGTGATGTTTCATGGTGGGAGGCTGAGTTGAAGGACCATCAGTTTGAGGCCAGTGGGAATATGTAGCAAGACTGGGCTTTAAGAAAGAAAGAGATGTCATAAACACACTGTAGTAGCATTCTGTCTTAAAAACCAAGAAGGAAACTTTGATGTTCACTAAAGGACAGATAAACCGTGAGGACATTAAAGCTATATGAAATAAGCAGGCCATCTACCTGAGGGTCCCAAAGAAATCAAATTCATAGGAACAGAAGGCAGAATGGTGGTTGTGAAGCTGGGTGGAGGATATGGGCTTAGAGTTTCAACCTTACAGAGCAGCATTTAGAGATCTTCTACAAAACAAGGTAGATTTCCTCATCACCCCAAGCTGTTCACTACTAAATGGGTAGATTGTAAATTTCCCATGTAGTTTTTTTTAAACCACAATTAAAAGCCTTTTACTTAAAATATATACTGCTATGATGTTCTGCCTCAGAGGTATTCCTAAGATGGGCTCATGCCTAGAGGCTCTTTGGCCTCTCTAGCTTGGACATCCTTGATCCTCAGTGAGGATGAGTGCAGGAAGCCATTCAGAAGAACTTGAGTGGTACCTCGAGAGGAAGGGCCATCAGTTCACCTTAGGACTCCCACATGACATCTGTATTGTCCATGAGGATGGTAAAGTAAGGAGGTCCTTCCATCAGACTAGAGGGCTTGCTTTTGTTTCAGCCACACTGCAGGGAAACACACTCACCATCTGGCTGCCAGGACATCACACGCCTGTTGGTTTTGCCCTTGGAATTTGCAACTCCTCTTCCTTTGTTTATAAGTGCCGGAAGTTGAGGACATAAGACACAGCCTTCTGGAGGTCACCATGAAAATTTCTTTCAATGACTTCTTTCTTCTTCTAAGTCTGTTGTGGAAATTGCTTTAATTATGTAAAGATGTGTTATATTTGTTTATTCTGTGGAACAGTACTTTAACTGTGTAAAGATGTGTTACATTTGTTTCTGTTGCATTTGTTTAATTATGAAAAGATGAGTTGCTGTTTTACCTTGCCTGCCTAAGGCACCTGATTGGTCTAATAAAAAGTTGAATGGCCAATAGCTAGGCAGAAAAAGGATAGGCGGGGCTGGTGGGCAAAGAGAATAAATAGGAGAACTCTAGGCTCAGGATGAATGAAAACAGAAAAAGAGAGGAGAAGGAGGAGAGAACAAAGGAGGAAGAAAGGGACACACTCGGGGTCAGAAGCCAGGCAACCACCAGCCAGACACAAGAAGCAGTGTAAGATATACAAAAGGAAAAAAATGTAAAAAGACCTGAGGCAAAATGTAGATGAAGAGAAAGAGGTTAAGTTATAAGAGCTAGCAAGAAACGAGCCTAAGCTAAGGCCACACATTCATAACTAATAGTAAGTCTCCATGTCATGATTTGGGAGCTGGTTGGTGCCTCTAAGAAAGCCTGGTACATAAGTCAATTGGTTGTATAACTTAGGCACATTGGTATATTCATCAGGGATTG